ATATTTCCTCGATATCCGTAATCCGATATGAATTTTAGCCATCTGAGATTTCCCCAATATCTAATATAAATCCGATTTTTAAAACCTTGGCAAGTAGTGAAGCCTAAGTTATTCAATTTTTGACTTAAGTTCTCATTGTTTTCTGGCAAAATTACACATAAAAATTTTTTTTACATTTAATATAAGTATCTTTCACTAATATATTTCTCATGTATTTGCTTAGAACTACATAGTTTTATTTATTTATTTTTGTTAGCAACATAGTTTTAATTTAAGAGATAATATATCAATAGTTTGGAGGAACAATACGAACTTTTAATTGAGTGGCATTGAAGGATTAGTATTTTGATTAATCATTCAACTTAGATTAGTATCTTGATTAATCTGGAAAGTTTGGCATTGTTATATTATTTTATTATGAGGTTTTTTATAATGTGCTCTTAGAGCACATGTTAAGAAACATTAAATACTTTACGATTACCTTCATTATCATACATATATGCGTAAAACTTAAAATCTAACCTAAAAATAATAATTCTTATCATCTATGTGCAACAAATTAATTTATTTTAATAAAAATAATCATTTTCTAGAAACCAAAACTTATATTTCAACAAAAAATTAATAAATTTGTACTCATTTCTATGATAATGTAAATAACTAGATATCATTTAATGTATGTCAACGTATGTCCTAAATGCACATAGTAGGAAAACCTTTTAATTATAGCTGCAATTTTATCTATTAACTAGTTTTTATGCACATGCACTGCACGTAGTTAAATATCAAAATAATTTATTTTTTATTTATTTAATTATTATAAATAAGTCAGATCCATTTTGATTATTAGATTTGATATAATTTTTATTTAAACATTATAAAAAATCAAGGTAATGGATTTTTGTACTAAACTGGGATCAATATAGTTAACTGGGATATCTTAATTGATTCCCTAAAAAAAATATATCAATTGACATAATAATATCTTCAAGTAGAATAGTAAAAAAAATAAAGTTAAACTGATACTACATATCATATTCCAAACTCTACTAATCTCAAGCTCTAATATGGAGTCAAGCATGAATAACAATATCATTATGAACTGTATTTCTAGCAATAAAGAAACCGTATTTCTTATTGCATTGAAAACAGAATTGCACAACAATTTTGGACATTATAAGCTCGTGTTTTATAATAAACAATCTCAAAAAGCAAACATTAAAAAAAGTACCATAAACATGATACACGTGTGCGCGGCACACGCGCGCACACACACATATGAGATCTAAGCCTATATTATTTGATAGACTTAAAATAATAAAAAGACAAAAAACTAAAGATTAATGGTAACTATAGTATACTTTGGGGTGTTTTGAGTTGTGGATAGGACGGATGATGGTTTTCAAAATAGCAGGTGTGTGGGTAATAGTTTTTGTTTGTGTGGTATCCTAATTAGAAGCACAAGAAACAACCTTGGGCTTTTCTATTAGGGCCCAGATACAACCCAAACCTATTTTCTATCTATAAATAATGGTTAATTTCTCAAACCCTCTTGAACTTTGGGAGTTGTTGCATATAACCCTATTAAACTATGTTTATCTCATATAAACTCCCTAAACTATGTGATGTCTCGCAAAATCCCACTAAACTTTATCTTTTCCTAATTCCACATAATCCACCTTCATATAATTTATAAATAACTAATTTTTTTTTAGTGAAGAAAATCTCAAACTTCATCACTTGCCGTTTAGATGCCATACTCCCTCCCCCAAAATTTTAAAATTTTGCTCTCAAGAAAATTTTTGTTTTTCACAAAATTACAAGCAAGGGAACTATACGAGATAAAGTAAAGTTTTTTTCGGGAGAGAGGGGAGGGTCGAGGGGAGGGGGATTGTGAGACTTCTCATAGTTTAGGGGGTTAAGTAACATAAAAAAAGTTCAGGGGTTATGTGCACACCCCCAAAGTTTAGGCGGTTTCATGAAATTAACTCCTTCAAATAATCAAATCGAACACCCAAATCAACTTATTTGTCTTCTGCTCCCCCTCGAAAACCATAAGCCTAATCCATAAAACGGGTTTGTATATAATGAAGAACAAAAGACACTGTCAAGAGATAAAAAAGAAAGAAGAAGGAATTGAATAAGAATTGTTGGGTTTGTACATAATATAGAGCAAAAGATAAGACAAGAGTCGAGAAATATATTAATATATACTTGAATTAATCAAATTGTATTATTACTCATAATTGATATGCATTATAGACAAAATGTATTGACAATCTTAAACTATAAAACAGACTGTTTGGGCCCTCTAACATAACATTTTTACTGCAAGCAACCCTTAATATTAATTTTAAAAATCTCTCGAGGTCAGGAAAAAAACAACTAACAAGTTTGCAGTGGAAGCTAGTGGAATGTAGTACATTCTTAAGAACCATCAATATTTACTTAAATTGTTTATAATGACAGGATCTCATTATTAACTAACTACAAGGTGTACTACATTTTTTTTATTTTGTGTTCAAGACAGCCAAAGGACCCAGGTGAGTCCTCATCGCAATAAATGTTATACAATTAAGTATAAAAGAAAAAAGAAGGGTTGATCAATAGTGTAGTGGGTGAGGTGGAGACTCCAGCAGCTTAAGCTGGGTTTAGATGTGGATATGTTATAGATGGAGATGGAGAAGAGTGTTTTTGAAAGTAGTGGGTGTATGTGAGTAATTAATATGGTTTTATTTGTGTGGTTTTTTCGTTCATTTTTAAGATATCTGTGGTCCTCTGGATATATATATAGCTATAGCATTGCTACTCTTTTTTGGTTTTATGGAAGAGATCGGGTGTAAAGAAAAAATATTAAATTATTTAATCCAGTTAAAGTAGGATCATATAAGCTAACCCCATACATGAATTTTATTTTAACCAACACCCACATATAAGTATTACAATTGGCATTAAGATATAAGACACGTATGAGATTCTCTTTGATTTTTGTACAAAGAGCATCAATTTAAAAAATAATAGTATAATTAAACTTTATCAAATATTTAATCTAATTCGAAAAAAATAACAAAGGCACATACCTATTGAAGGAGATGAAAGTGCTGCGTAAAATTGTTGTAATTTCTTGATCTGAAAAAAGATCAAACATGCAATATAATTAATTGCTTTAAAATAATGTAATCTAATCTAACAAAAAGAAAATAGATGATAATCTTGTGAAAATTATTGCTATTTCTTGATATGAAAAGGAAGATCAAACATACAATATAATTAGTTGCTTTAAAATAAATTAATGTAATCTAATAAAGGAAAAAAAAAAGACATGTACCTGTAGAAGGAGATGGAAGTACTGTAGAAATTATTGTAATTTCTTACCTTATATATATTGGTTTGTGATGTTGCATGTGAGAGGATAACAATTATAAATAAAGTTCTATTTAAATAATAATACTATAATTATGTTGCATGTGAGAGGATAACAATTATAAATAAAGTTCTATTTAAATAATAATACTATAATTAAACTTTGAAACTAATTATGCAGGATAACAATTATAAATAAAGTTCTATTTAAATAATAATACTATAATTAAACTTTGAAACTAATTATGCAGTACTGTGAATTACTTGAACCGCGTTGTGTCCTCAGATCAGAGCCGTTTGTTTTTATTTTCCTTTGTTATAATTTTGAGAATGATTTTATCTCTTTAATTTGTTTGGTGGATTTTCTAGATAATATATGCATACAACCGCCACATATCTTGCATACTTAATAGATAGTATCAATTACAAGTACAAATGATTTTTATAATTCTATCACATTTATTTTTTTCAGGTTTACATTTCAATTAAACTATATTATTATCTTCATACTCTGTGGATGCTATGATTTATTTTCCTTTATTTATAATTTTGTCTCTTTAATTTGTTTGGTGAATTTTGTAGATACTACAACCGCCACACATCATACTCAATAGATATTATCAATCACAAGTGCAAATATTTTTTATAATTCTATCACGTTTATTTTTATTCATGCTTACATTTTAATTTAAACTATATCATTATTTTCATACTATGTATATCCAATAAGAACTCATCAATTTCTCAACTTATTCTAACTTAATGAATTAGTATTTAAATTCCAAGGATTTTTTTGTCTACCAAAAGTTTTTTTTTATAATTTTGTCTCTTTAATTTTTTTGGTGAATTTTGTAGATACTACAATAGCCACATATCATACTCAATAGATACTATCAATTACAAGTGCAAATAATTTTATAATTCTATCACATTTTTTTATTCAAGTTACATTTCAATTTAAACTATATCATTAATTTGTTTGGTGAATTTTATAGATACTACAACAGCCACATATCATACTCAATAGATACTATCAGTTACAAGTGCAGATAATTTTTATAATTCTATCACATTTATTTTTATTTAGGTTTACATTTTAATTTAAACTATATCATTATTTTCATACTATGTATATCCAACAAGAACTCATCAATTTCTCAACTTATTCTAATTTAATGGATTTATATTTAAATTCCAAGGATTTTTTTGTGTACCAAAAGATTTTTCCAAACTCGTGCTCTTAAAAAGAGTATGATATGATATGATATGATATGATATGATATGAAATATGATTTTATGAGAATTGTGCTAATTAATCTAGTACAAAATATCTATTACAATAATCAAATAAACTTTAAAAATTCGAAAATATTAAATTAGTAATGACGGCTCTATCCTCCAAACCCAATTCCAACGTAATGGAACACATGGTTCAGGACAAAATCAACCCTCCTCTTCCGCCACGTGTCAGCCCATCATTCGCCTATCACCGAGTCAATAAATCTCCCACCAACCTCTCGTATCGCACGTGCGCGTTACGAGAAATCACAAGAGGGGCAAACCCGTAAATCTCTCCAACTCTGTGTCCATTTCCCTCGCCAGCTCGTCACAAACGCCAAACGTCGTTTCGTTTCTAAAATTTCCTCACTCGTCGCTCTCTCTCTCTCTCTGAAGCCTTCAAACCGGAAAGCGAGAAAAAAGAGAACCGAGGGCAAAAAAGGGAATTTCATCTCTCGCCATCGATCCGCCGTCAGTTCTCATCTGCCTCTGCCGTTGGATCCATGAAGCGCGCGAGCGGAGCTAGAGTTTCGCGGGCGGAGCGGGGCGTTCCGTTGAGATTCCAGCTTGTTGCCATTGGGAGATGAGCCTTTCGATTCCAGCCGTGCGATCTAGGGTTTGTGTAATAGACGGTCGAGATTTCGTTTCCGAATGGAGGGGAGTGGCAGCGAACTAGGATTTCTTCTCTCGCGGGTAATTCAATCTTTCATTTGTTAGTATTTTACCGTGCACTTCGCTGTGTTGATTAGTTTTTGTGTTAAAAGGTTAGGGCTTTTGATCCGGTTGCGTTGAATTGTAAATTGGTACCATGTTCTTTTGATTTGTTGGCGGTTGTTTGATTTTTGAAAAAAAGCTAGGGTTTCTTTTAGCCAGACTTGAAAAGTTTTCTTGTTGAGCTTAAAATGTTTCAAGATTTGAGAATTTGGTTAGAATTTGTGTGTGAACTTCTTAGTCAATAGTGATATTGCAATTACTAGTCAAAATTTCCGATAATTAGGCTCGTTGGTTAGAAATGTTCAGTTTTCAGTTATTTGGAATTAGTTTGTTCCCTTATTTGTTTTAGGAAATATTGCTTCCCTCCCGCTGTTTCAAATTTACTATTGCATTTGGATCTTGTGCCAACTGTTTCACTATGAATTGAAAATACAGTTGTGTAAATATGTTTGGATGTTGATACTCGAATAACTGTGATTAATAAGATGATCTTATGGAGACTGGTTTAGTGTTGCATTAATGTTTTAGTTTTAGCAATAATTCCAAATATCAAGTAGCTCATTGGCGGTTAGTCCTTTGTCGGTGCCTACATAAATTGATATGTAATAAACACAGTGACTTGACCTCTCAATTTCGGAAAGAGAGTTGTTTCTAACTTTTGATATCTATGTATTAAATGGGCGACATGTCTATGTTGGTCACTTCTAGTAGCCTAATCATGCTGTGCTAGACAGTACAAGTGGAACCCATTCAGCTATCTCATCTTTATCACTGATGCTCTGCTGATTGTTTAGTTAAGTGTCCTGAATAAAATTTACCCTCTTAAGTCATTGCTCGAGTCTTTTTCATACATGCAAATACTTTTTTATATATCTAGCAGTGCTCATATCCCATATCTCATGTCTGCATGGGAGTTTCATTCTTGTGTTTGGATTCAAGTAGCAACATATTGGTATCCTCCTAACAGTTCTCTATTTTTCATTTCCACCTTAGACTTACAAGAGTGAAGTTAATCAAGAAGAGACTCTAGTTGTTGCTAGCACAAGGTTCAACAGCTTGGATCCAGTATAACCTAGTTCACTTGGCATAAATTGATAGAGTAAGAGTAGCCCAGCCAATCTGACTTCAACAATTTTTTTGTTTTATGTTACATTACTGTAATTCAGTTGGTTTGACCCCCCAAGTTTAAACCTAACCCATGCTGATGCTTTCCACTTCAGACCGACCTTCAACTAAACCGCCTTTAACACAAGAAAGATGACTTTGTTGTTGGAAGGCGCAGGAACTGGAGTTTAATTCCCACTAGTTGCAAAATAGCTAAGTTTGAATTTAAGTGCTTGTTGTTCTGTGCAAATTAACCATATATCAACGAAGTTGTTATGAAAATTTTATAACATGATGCTTTAGATGGAAATTTAGGGAAGGAATATTCGAGTTCAAGGTATTTGAAGTTTTTCTAATAACTAATTTTGAATTTAAGTGCTCGTAGTTCTGTGCAAATTAATCATATATCAACAATGTTGTTATGAAAATTTTATAATGTAATGCTTTAAATGGAAATTAATTTGAAATTTGGAAGCAACCTAGACGAGGCAGAAATTAACCCATTTGGGGGTATGATTCATTGAATTCTCTCTTTTTTCTAATAACGTTTCTAGGCTCGTGAAGGAAGTATACATGCAATTGGATGTTTTAGTTTAAGTTAGTGGAGGTGAGTTCTAGTAACTCCAAGGGAAACGAGCTAGATACTTGGTTGTCTTTTCAGGTTGATTAGGAAGTTGCAATTGAAGCATTTCTCTTATTTAAAATATACATGAAAACATGTCTTTTCACTTTGGTTGTTTGGTTGTATCTGTAGTATGACTATTGTGGGTAGCAGTTGTTGGGGTAGGAAACTTATGCGTAATCTAACTTAACCTATTCCGTTCATGAAGCAAGTGTTTCTATTGGTTATCTAGGGGACCTAAGAAGACCAAAACCTTATCACAATTCTGTTATTTAAGAATATTTATGAAAACAAGTCTTTCCAGTTTGGTTTTTTTGGTTGTATCTGAAGAATTAGTAACCAGAGAAAGAGCAGGGATGATTTCGCCCCTCTATTAGTTTATTTATAATAGGAGAGTTGATACATTATTAACCACAAGCAATGGAAGACTAACACAATAAAATTAATGGAACTCTCTCACAACACTCCCCCTTAAGCTGGAGCATATGCATTGTACATGCCCAGCTTGTCACAAATAAAATATACTTATGTTTTTCTAAGAGGTTTAGTGAGAATATCTGCTAGCTGGTTTTTTGTCGATACATGCTTAACTGCATCAATTGCTCTATCCATCTCCCGAACTAGGTGACAATCAATGTCAATATCCTTGCTCTTCTCATGGAATGCATGATTCTTAGCAATATTTATAGTTGACTTGTTATCAACATATTATCTCATAGGGCATTCGAGAGGAAGTTCAATCTCTGTCAAAAGGTCTCTAATCCAAACTAACTCACATGTACGTTTGTCATTGCACGATACTTAGGCTCTACACTAGATCAAGGAATCACACTTTGTTTCTTGCTTTTTCAAGGCACAAGATTACCCAAGAAAAACACAATACCTAGCAGTGGATCGCCTAGAAGCCAGTTTTGCTTAATTTACATCTGAAAAAACTTCAACTCTGGTGTGCTCATGATTTGAATAGAAATTCCTCTTCTCGGAGCTCTCTTCAGATATTTGAGAATCCTCTTCATAGCCTCCAAATGAGTTGTTCTTGGTGCTAAAAAAACGGGGTAACTACGCTAACAACAAAGGTAATATCTGGCCTGGTTACTGTGTATAAACATCATCCTCGATAATGCCATTGAGAAAAACATTCTTGATGCCCAATTGATAAAGAGGCCAGTGGAATGTCATAGCCAATGAGATAAGAACTTGCAAAGAAGTCATATTTGCGACCGAAGAGAAGGCGCTGAGATAGTCAAGTCCATACACTTGAGATAGCTTTTCGCAACTGGTATCGCCTTCAAGTGAGCAAGTGACCCATCTGGGTTTAACTTGCTATTGCAGACCTATTTGTAGCCAACATCTTTCTTTCATGGAGAAAGAGTAACCAACTCCCATATATCATTCTCCTCAAGGGATGTCATCTTGTCTTGTATCGCTTCAGTCCGACCTGAAATAGATAGGACTTTTAAGATAGACTTGGGAATAGAGCGAGAATCCTAAGAGCAGATAAAAGACTGATATGAAGATGATAAGTGAGAGTAAGAGACAAAATTAAAAATCAGATGTTTAGTGTAGTATATCTTACCCTTGCGAAGGGTGATAGAGAGATCAACAATAATCATGTTACTAGGTAACTGATTATTAATAATCTCACTAAATTGTGGATTAGGACTTAGTACATAGGCTGATGCTGGCACAGAATTAGGAGCACAACGACGTGTATAAACTTGAAGAGGCTTCTCTAAAGTTAGTGGTTCTGAGTAAGATATTAGATCAAAAGCAAACAGGCCACTGATGATTTGTACCTCACGAATAATCAAATAATCATAATCATCTTCAGAGGTAGGAGGTGAAGATATGTGTCCAGACTGATACTCAAAGAAAGTGACATTTGCGGATTGAATGTAGCGACATAGAGAAGGACAATAACACCTGTATCCCCTTTGAGTGCGTGAATAATCAAGAAAGATACATTTGAGGGACCATGAATCTAGTTTATTTTTCTAGGGGCTATGATTGTGAATAAAACACAAGGAACCAAAGATTTTAGGTGAAGGAGAAAACATGTCACTATGAGGGTGTAGAAATGAGTATGGAATTCTGTTATCCAAAACTAAAGAAGGCATACGATTTATCAACTAACGTATGGAATTCTGTTATCCAAAACTAAAGAAGGCATATGATTTATCAACTAACGTGCAATCAAAATGACATCTCCCCAAATTTTTTTTCGGAACATGTCTATGAAACAATAGTGCAAGCAATATCTAGCAAATGTCGATTTTTACGTTTAGGAAATCCATTTTGCTGGCATATAAAAACAAGATGATTGATGCAAAATTGCATTATGTTCCAAAAACGGAGTGAAAGATGTATCCAATTATTCTTTAGCATTGTGAGTTCTCAAAATTTTACATTAGTTTTAAATTGATTTTTAATTTCATAACGAAAAGCTTTGAAAACTAAAAATACCTCAGAATGAGATTTTCAAAGATATCCATGCACTCTAGAAAAATTATACACAAAACTAATAAAAATTTGAACCCACGTTTTAGGACATGGACACCAGATGTTTAAATGGACTAAATCTAATGGACAATTAGCCGTTTTATTGACCTAGGATAAGACACGATGGTGCTTCCCAGTTGAAATGACTCACACTAACGAGTGAACATAATTTAAAGAGGGAACCAAAAGTTTAAGTATAGGTAGAGATGGATGACCAAATTGACAATGGTAGTTAAAAGCTGATGTAGTACTGATACAAGTCACCGGGTCGGATGCTAAGTCTAACTCATACAAGCCGTTGCGCTCATGACTTGTGCTAATCATCTTCCTTATTCTAGGTGCCTAAAATGTACAATGTGTAGGAAAAAATGTCACTGTGTAGTTTAAAGTTCTAATAACACTACTAATTGATAGTAAATTAAATTAAAATCGAGGCAAGTAAAGCACAGAAGATAAGGGGAGATCATGTGCAGTAGGGGAGGACCAGGTCGCAGTGATGGGTGTTTTAGAATGATACACTAGGGTAACCGATGGGAAGTAGAAATAAGGGTAAAAAATGATAAGATATCTCTTCCCAATTATATCAGTTACCACAAAGTCTATTACCCAATTACGAGACTGAGATGATGTAAGACAAATGATGGGAATACTTGTCTGAGCTAATGTGGTTGTGGCAGATGGAGATTGCGTCTTTCTGCCTCTGTCGTTGAAACTGTTGAAGCTAAAACCACTCAAACTCTCTCCTAGTCTCTTA